ACTCCCACCCATACAAACACACACACACCTACCCCAACCCCCACCCATAACCCCCCCCCCCCCACCCAACACACACACCCACAAACACACACACACAAACACAAAGCCACCCCCACTTCCACAAATAGACACACACACACACACACACATAAACAAACACCCACCCCCTACCCCCAAACACAGACACACCCATCCCCACCCTCCCCAATCCCCCACAAACACACACACACAAACCCACACCTACCCCACCCCCACAAACACACACACACACACACAAACCCACCCCCATCCCCAAAAACACACGCACACACACCCACACCTACACCCACCCACACACTCACCCCCACCCCCACAAACACACACACACACCCACAAACACACACAGACACACCTACCCACCCAACACCACTACCCCATCAGCACCACCACCACCACCATCGCCGCCGCCACCACCATCACCACCACTACCACAATTGCCGCCACCACCACCGCCGCCGACCCGCTACCACCGCCGCCCCCACCCCCACCCTACCACCGCAACTATTTTCTAAAAATGAAAACCAATAGAAAAATATACATCTAAACACGTTTTCTAATTTTCTAAAACTGAAAATGAAAAATGAATAAGTTTTAACTAAACGCGTTTTCTAAATTTTTCAATGAAAACCGGAAACGGAAAACGAAATATGAAAAGGAAAAACGAAAAACAGAAAATGAAAACTGTTTTTCTGTAACTAAACGCAACCTAAGCATTTGGTGGTACTTGTGGGTGTACAGGTGAGAGAGAGATAGAGAGGAAATGAGGGTGACGAATTATAGTGATTGTCTTCCAGATCTTTATATTGTGCTCCATATAATCCAATTTATATATTTATTTACTTATTTATTTATTGTGTCTGATCGAAAAGAGGGGTGTGAGTGGGTATAATTTGTTATATCAATTTCTTGTACTGGTTGATGTGAGATAACTTGGTGTCTTATTAGTTTTAGGGATAATGAGTTAAAAGGGTAGTATACTTTTCGATTTGTACACATTTGGTCACTGAGTTTTTTTTTCGTCCACATTTACCCCTTCAACTTGTTAAACTGTATACATTCAGTCCTTATGACCGGCTACTCCAGGTTACCCGGTAAAAATGACTTAATAGGGTAATATATTTCTCACTTTGTACACATTTAGTCCTTAATATTTTTGTACACATTTAGTCTTTTTTTTTTTTTTTTTGCAAAATAAGTCATTTTTTGTACTCATTCAGTACTTATGAATGATTTCTTTAGTTTTTTCTCATGAAATCTTACGTGGGACATTCATTAATGAGGTGTATGAGGCTTTTGATGCTTATATCCATCGCGATCTCAACTACTTGGTTGCTTAGGTCATGTGTTCTGAACGTCATAACTTCTTCATACGATCTCGGATTTTAACGATCTTTATATACATGAGTTCGTATTTTAGTCTACTACAACTTTCATTTAGATTACTCCCATTAAAAAATAATATATTTTTACTTACGATTTTTATATCCATACGCGGTGGCGGATTTACTATGGTACCGGTGTTGCACCGACAACACCTGTTTTTTTTTGTTCGCAGTGGAAAAATTTTCGATTCTTTTTTCGTTTATACCTATTTTCCATGTATCGGCAACACCTATTTCATTTCGGCAACACTTACTATGTATTCCTGCGTCTTCCCCTATCCATACATTTTTTATGAATGCATGTATGGATGTTTTTATAAAATCGTTAGTAAAAATATATTACATTTTAACGGGAGTAATCTTAATGAAAGTTGCAGTAGACTCAAAAAATGAACACATAGATATAAAGATCGTTAAAATCTGATATCGTATGAAGAAGTTATGATGTTCAAAATACAAGACCTAAGCCAAACCACAAGACTTACGCAACCAAGCAGTCGAGATCACGTTGGACGTAAACATCAACAACCCCAAACACCTCATCAATGATTGTCACACGTAAGATGTCGTGAAAAAAACCTAAATAAATCATTCATAAGTACTGAATGAGTACAAAAAAATGACTTATTTTGAAACAAAAAAAATGTTAAGGACTAAATATGTACAAAAATATTAAGGACTAAATGTGTACAAAATGAAAAATATATTACCCTATCAAGTCATTTTTCCCGGCTAACCTGTAGTAACAGGTCATAAGGACTGAATGTGTACAGTTTAACAAGTTGAAGGGGTAAATGTGTACGAAAAAAAACTTAGTGACCAAATGTGTACAAATCGAAAAATTTGTTACCCTTTTAAGTCATTATCCCTTAGTTTTATTGTATATCTATAAATATACACTTGAGCATAAGTTTATGTCACTTGGTATCAAGTACATATACGCATAATATATATGTATTATTTTATGATCTATATAAATGTATAAATATGGAATTTAAGCATTTTCAGTATGTTAGCTAAAGATTCACCTTATATGTTTTATATTGGACATAGTACATCATATATAGCATACATATATATTTATATATACCATGTTCGTATTACGTTAATTTCACGCACCCATTGCTACATATTGCATAAACTTATTATTAATATACTTATAATCGATTAACCGTTATAATATTTTTTAAACATGTTAGGTACGTAATGACGAAACATAAATTCGGTTTGGTCCTAGTAGCGTCACATCAATTTACCGACCATCTTTGATCTAAATTTGACGGTTGTTACAGGGTTTTCATGAAAACAATCTCTAACCATTCTATAAGACTGAACCAAGACGTATTTGAATCTAACATCAACTTCAAATCTTGTATAATATCATTATCAATGACAGAAGAATTTGATGTAGATCGTTGATTTTCTCCACTGCAAGTAACATGAACATATAAACATAGGATAAATAAAGAAACTAATGCTAATCAATAAGATATTTATTAATTAGATAATTGTGAGAAGTATACCCAAGACATGTTTGTCTATTTGCGATCTCATTATCGATATCGTATATGTACAACTGCAAGAATTTTGGCTTAGATCCTTGTTATGGTAAAAGGCTTCCAATACCATGATATTTTTGACCGCTAAGTCTAAAAATGTATGGAACATTTCCTCCATTGATTGATGAATCAATTTTGCCACCCATTGACGTAAAAGAAAACATAAAATTATAACAACGAATGTTTTTCATGAAGTGTTTGCTTTTAGAATCTCCATATCTATAAAGATTTTCATAACTTGGAGGTGTATTTTTTAACTCCAGTAGTTCAACTTTGCCATAAGCACAACATAGAGAATAATTAATATTCTCTTTTTTTTTACCTCTGACAGATTCATCTTTCCATAATTTGCAAAACAGATTCATCTTTCCATAATTTGCAAAACATGTTTGGCATACAACACTCTGATCACCATGATCTAAATAATCTGTTAATTAAAATTGACATAAAAAAGTTTTTTTTTTTTTTGGAAAGGGAACGAGGGTTTCCGGGCCAGCTTTCGCGCACCGACTGATCCACCGCTGCAAACATGAGGCTTTGCCTCATGCCCTGGAGTCACTGCAGGCGAACCTCCATGGCCACAAGGGCTGAGTGGTGTCAGGATTTGAACATGGGTTAATAGGTTATCCACCATATCTTCCACATGCCTTACCAAGTCACCACAACCCAAGTGGTTAAAAAGTTAATCATGTAAGTGTATATAATTGAAAATGATCAAATGAACAAATGTAAATATTGTATTTGTAAAAAAAAATTACCTTTTGATATACCGGTGTGTATGTTTCGATTATTTTGGTCATCATTGTTGTCTTCATCGGATCTCAGACCAATTATTGGAATAGGAGATAAATTTGCATTTTTTTTCTTTTATTTTTATGATTTGGATTAGTTAAGATGACCGAAGATGACCTTGATGTTATTGTAGATGATTTGTTGGATGTGACACCATTTGAAAATACAGAGTATTGTCTTATATTTGGTAACGGTGATTGAAAACTGTTATTGGAAATATTCATGGTTGGGGAAAAGGATTGAACGTATACATTGTTAAATATGATAGAATAATAATATATATTATAAAATGAAATGGTAAAATAAATGAGTTACCATTGGAAGTGTTAGATGATAAATTTCTAACATTTAGATGTGAAGGAGAAGTACGTAACGTTGATTGTTTTGACATATTTGTACTTGATTTAGATGCGAATACATTTTTATTTCGATGGACAACTCCTTTAGATTTGTCTGGAAATTTTTAATAATTTTTTTAATATTATATGAAGATTAATATTGATAAAGAGCTGATATAAAAAATGATGATGTAAGAATTTTTATTTTATATATTTAAAGGAAACATAAGAAGTGTAAAAACAAGTAGTTTACGTTTTTCTTTATTTTTAAAACATGTGATGTCGATGAAGTTGTATGGATTGATTCAGTCATACATTTTTTTATTATCCAAATATAACTTTCTTATTCTTCTTTTTTCTCTAGCTCGAACATGATAGAAGTTTCTATTTGAATCTCCATATATATATATATATATATATATATATATATATATATATATATATATATATATATAATTGAGATTAATAATATTTATAAACAAAGTCGTAAAATATATAATGAACGTACCGTTAGCATCTGGGTTAATAACATTTGTGGAAGATGAAATTTGACCGACTGATGTAGTGTACAAAGGTATGTGTTTTGTATTATCCAGATAAAAATTATTTAAGTTTATCTTTTTATTAATCTTAAAAGAGTCCATGTTAATGTTTACAATATGAAATATATATAAGTTTATACAAAAAGATGACATGTTCAAATTTATTGTAATATTTTAAGAATAAATAAATATGAAAAATCTAAAAATATAGATTGCCATTAAAACGTTATAAAATCTTATAAACTAGTGTAGATCCCATGCTCCGCATGGGTTAGAATGACTTTTGTTTTCTGATTAACTATGTTTGGATAAGTCGCGGTTAACATTGGAATATTGTTCAGGAAGTGATCGTAGTATTAAGAAAGTTGATAAATTGTGAAAAGTATGTTACATGACAAAAGCATAGAAAGGATATTTAAAAGAGAACAATTAAGATATAACCCTCCAACCGTCGTTTCAATGCTTTATTTTCCATGCCAAGAATAAAACTTTTCTTATTTGGAAACTCCACCTCAGCAGACACCTCAGAACCTACTGCCTGACATAAACCAGAAGTGCACCAGCAACGCCTCTGTAGTAAGACCTTGTTAATAGATCTGAATGATTCTTGACCAGCCTGATTAAGTAGGAATAGAAATAGAAATAAGAAAATGAGTGAGTTCATTGAATGTATGAGGGTATAAAAGGAAAGGAACATTTACAAACCGTGTCTCAGACTTGGAGTTTTACTGGTTTGTTGTCAATTGTGATCATTCTGGCTCCAAATTCAACACCAATGGTTAAGTCATGGACTGATTGAAAATGCTTGTCTGTGAACTGCAGAAGAAGGCATGACTTCCCCGCCCCTGAAGAGTAAACAAATACAAATAATATTGGGACACATAATGTGGGAGCTTTTTTCAAGTTGTTAAAAAATAAACCAATTCCCACTAAACGAAACCAAATCCTCCTTAAAACCTTAAAACCGACAACCCCAACTCACTTAAATTAAGAATAAACCCCAGAAAACTGTCAACTTGTTGCTCTATTTTCCCCAAAGATGAAGCAAAGTTATCTAAAACTCATAAAAGCAGAAAAATATTGTAGATTCATTACATTGAGACTTTTGTATACCAAAACTGCTTTTGAAGTTTAAAACTTTCCATGGCACCAAGATCTCTTAGAACAGCTTGTGTGAAGTCAGCATAAGTCTGTTATTCACATCAAGAGTTAGCAACACCTAGAAAAAATGTACATGAGTGTACAAAAATTATAATTTTTACCTAACACTATTGCGCAATCAAATGCCATTTCATGATAAACAAAAAAATACCTTCTTGTAATTACAGCAACATTTATTTAGTGACACAAAGCTCTCTTCACCTGTAATTATCATAAAAGACATAATTACCCCTTGCTAATAGAATGTAAGTAATATTAACAACCTCAGAGAAATTTTAATGAGTAGAAAAATAGAGAGAAAAATATATATAGAAATGTAAAATAGATGTGTTACTCGTTTATTGAAGCTGTCTCCTTTAGAACAACATCAAGAGCTTGAATGGTCTCTTGTGGGTTATCATGATGTCTACCACATAGAAACTGTCTTAAATGATGCAGGGAAACAAACTTGATGTTGACTTTGAACTCCTTTTCACACCTACAATATACATGCCAACATTAAGATATGATTATGGTTTTTGAAAAAGCAAGAATTAAGACACAGATATCGGGAAATATAACGGTGAGTTTCACCACAAATTCTTTGGATTCAAATGGAAGAGGGCCAGCAGCAAATGCACTCTTCTTTCCATCGTAAGCCAATAACATGTTTCCCAGATGAGATTGCTTGTATAACTCACTGACAAGCTTCAAGATCTCACGACTTCTAGTCTTTGAAATAACCTCAGCTGTGATTGTCACCTAAAACATTGCAATGACAGAACACAAAGTTTATTATGATCCACATATTCCATGTTTAAAATAACAAAACAGCAAATCAGGAAAAAAGAATATACAGTAAAATGGCATACAATAAGTAACAGACAAAACAACAGTGCTATGCTTACATTGCAACATCTAAAATGAGGGTACTCTGTACCCAAATATGTGAATGAATCCACCGTTGAAATAATGTCCCGTTTATGGGGGCGGGCATCCTTGTTTGTTGTATGCCTGATGGTGGAGGTCCCATGTTTGGTAACACATTCTATATCGGACCCATTGAAGGGAACAACTACCGAATAGGATTTTAAATTATTTGTGTCATTAAATAAATGGAATCAAATGATAATTTTTCTATCTAAATTGTAAATAGTAAAACAAAAGAATAACAATGCTTGCTGTTGGAGCATGAACTGCAGCTGATTCATTCACATCAAATGGTGACAATCACACCTGATGTTATTTCAAAGACTATACTGTTGTGCATTTTATGCATCTTAGGTAATGTTTGAAAATAATATATTAATTTAATAACAATATTTGAATTTTAGGTAATGTTTCTATGCAATTTAAATTTAATATGAAAATTAATTAGTTCATTCTAAATTAAAAAAGTAAAAAACATTAATAATATATGAAGGCTGAAGAGTTTCTATGAATGAATTATAATGAAGAAACATAGATGTAGTAATCAATTAATCATCAAGAGATTTTAGTTGTCTACAGTCTTAAATTGGTTTTGAATAAATATATAACAAAGTATCATGATTTATGCAAAATTCTTAAACCAAAATTTCAGTACTATTATAGTAGATACATGAGAAAATCAACAAAGTATCATGTAAGAGCTGGAGTGGCGACTGGTTGAGCAAACTTTTCTCCTAACGTGGTTGTATACCAGTTGGACAAAATGAGAGTAAAAAGAAATTAATATCCATTATAGAATTTAAATGAGAAATCTACACATAGCAATAATTGTCTGACTTCACAGGAACATGCTTATACAATCAATGATGTTGATAACTTCTTACATTGGGTGCTACTTACAGCGTCAACAAAAAAAAATGACATTGATAACTCTGTTGATGTCGGTTGATCGATTTGTGAACCAAAAGGAATTGGTTCGAGTTTCCCTAAAATCAGGCGACAAAGTAACACATGCATGACGCCATCTGAAACATCTATCAACGATTTTTGACTGCACGGAAGAAGAAGAACCGTTAATATGAACACCAAGAACAGATTTAAACAAAATCATCATAGATTCTTTAGATTTTTGCAAAAGGGTTTGAAAAAATAACCAAATCGCGCCTACCGACAGTGGCGATGGCGACGACGACGTTGATTCAAAATCAACGCGTTGGCGACTCCGAAGCAGATGATCTTCTCAACCTCCTCCGCGGTTGTCGATGGCTCAAAGGCTATCGATTGGTGGTCCTGGAGACATAGCGTCTGTGACCTAAAATTCGTCGTGGAATGAGAGGGAAACAATCGGCAGCGCAATCGGAGGAGAGACGATTGGAATTTACAAGAACTTTTCTAGATTATTTGTTTACAGATGGGGCGAAGCGGTGGAAGGGGTAAAATGGACGACTAAACTCAGGCGGTGGGACGTTCCAGAAGGCATCTTCACCCACAGTTTTGCACCAAACACCAGCTAGAAAACAAAGAAGTAGTAAAAACTAAAGCAAGCCAGTAAAAAAAAATAGCCAGCCGATAAAAGGAAAAAACGCAGCCGAGAAAATGACCCCGGCTGAAAAAATCACTGTTCATAAGAGCATTCTCAATTGTATATATAACTAGTACAGAACCCGAACCCGTGGCTACGCCGCTTTTGGGGTAACATGGAAAAAATCGGCCAACTTTAAAAAATATGTGCTGAAATTATAAATCACCATAAATAGGGGAGAAAGTCGACAACCCCTAAAGTTAGATGTCAAAAGTGTACAACGAACAGAAGGGACATTGGTGGAGAAAATCCAAAAATGTTGTGGCAATTATGTTAAAGTTGTCAAAGTTGGGAAAATATGATGACAAAATTTTAAAGGAAGTTTTCTGTGTTTTTTATGTCAAAATGTAAAAGTTTTAACTACAAGGACGAAAAGTGCAAATTCATTAAAGATTTGTGGCAAAAACACCAAAATGTAAAACCTTTGACTGCAAGGACTAAAGGTGTCAAAGTCATTAAAGATTTGTGGCAAAAACCTTAAGGCAGAAAAACTTAATTAAAAGGCAAAAATGTAAAAATTTTGACTTTAGGGACTAAAAGTGTCAAATTCATTAAACTTTTGTGGCAAAAACCTAAAGCCTAAAAAGGTACTATTCCTAAGCTCCTTTGGATTTAATATATACTAGAAAAGGACACGCGGCTCCGCCGCTTTTGAACTATGTCATAGAAGTTAAATATCGGCAAACTTTAAAAGATGTGTCGAAAGTGTAAATCGCCACAAATAAGGGAGAAAACCGACAACCCCTAAAATTAGATGTCAAAAATGTAGAACCAAAAGAAAGAACATTGATGGAAAAAAAAAACGAAAATTGTTGTGGCTATAATGTGAAAGTTGCCAAAGTTGGAAAAATATGGTGGCAAAAGTCTAAAGGAGGTTTTTTGTGTTTTTTATGTCAAAATGTAAATGTTTTGACTGCAAGGTTGAAAAGTGTCAAAGTCACTAAAAATTTGTGGCAAATACATCAAAATATAAAAGATTTGACTGCAAGGACGAAAAGTGTCAAAATCACTAAAGATTTGTGGCAAAAATCTAAAGGCACAAAAACTTAATCAAAACTTAAAAATGTAAAAGTTTTCACTTCGAGGACTAAAAATGTCAAATTCATCAAACATTTATGGCAAAAACATAAGGTCCCTTGGATTTAATATATATATATATATATATATATATATATATATATATATATATATATATAACTAGTAAAGAACCCGCGGCTATGTCGCTTTTGGGGTAATATGGAAAAAATCGGCAAACTTTAAAAGATATGTGCTGAAATTGTAAATCACCATAAATAGGGAAGAAAGTCGACAACTCCTAAAATTAGATGTCAAAAGTGTACAACGAAAAAAAGGGACACTGGTGGAGAAAATCCAAAATGTTGTGGCAATAATATTAAAGTTGTTAACGTTGGGAAAATATGTTGGCAAAATTTTAAAGGAGGTTTTTTTGTGTTTTTTATGTCAAAATGTAAAACTTTTGACTACAAGGACAAAAAGTGTCAAATTCATTAAAGAATTGTGGCAAAAACACCAAAATGTAATACCTTTGAATATAAGGACTAAAAGTGTCAAAGTCATTAAAGATTTGTGGCAAAAACCTTAAGGCACAAAAACTTAATCAAAAGGCAAAAATGTAAAAATTTTGACTTTAGGGACTAAAAGTGTCAAGTTCAGCAAACTTATGTGGCAAAATCTTAAAGGCTAAAAGAATACTATTCCTAAGCTCCTTTGGATTTAATATATACTAGAAAGGTTTCTCGCGCGTTGCGCGAGTCGAAAAGTGTCAGTTTCGTTTGTATGTCCATCTGTTTCATATATTGCTATTATCCGATGTACATTGCCTGACAGTAAAGTACATTGCTATTCTGTGTAATTTGCCATGAATCGGATAAAACAAACTTGTCGTTAGTGCCTACCAAAAGAACATCAATAGTTCAATACAACCATCAACTTTCTTAGCATACTATAAAGCCTAAAATAAGAAATGCAATGGTAAATCATGATAATAAAACAAATTACACTGTTATATTTAGTTTTAAAAGAAAGTACAATGCAATGTACAATAAATGCATAAAGAACATCTTGATTAAATATTTACTTTGATCATTATAAAGCCGATGGATCTTGTTCTAAATTATTTTCCAGTTTTTTAAAGTACAATTAAATAACAAAAGCAAGGAAGAAACGTTATCCAAACAACAGATCAAAAGCATGTGCAACATAAATAAATAACATAAGCAACCAACCTAATAAACAACGTACGACAATGAAATGAGAATGTGTTATTCGGCAAAGCATTTTCCCTCTGTTTTAGCTTCTAGTTAGTTCACCAAAATAATTTCTACTTCCTCTAGAAAACATCACAATTTAATATCTTTATCGGTTCATAAATATATGTAATTATTAGTGGGGTTGTCCAGTATCATACACATTAAAACTTTAACCAATTCCAAGTATAAACTATAAAGATCCAAATTATAATTACCTTCCGGCCTTGGTTGATTGTACATATTTTTTAGCTTCCAAACAGCATCACATCCTCTGGCAGCAACAGTTTTGGCACAAAGTTCCTTCAAAATCACATATCACAAGAACGATAAAAGAAGGGCAAAATGGTCATTTTTACAAATTTAAGACAACATTACAACCTATTATGTTGTTTCCTATTATATGTAACAAATGTGGCCTAAAAATTGAAAGAAAATATATGTTGTTTTCTATACACAACACCCATGCTCACACCTAATCATTAGAATAAGTGGCTTCCAGAACTTTTGATGTCTACATAACATCAACAATTAGCTGAGTATTGTCGGTCAAAATCGAAAAGTGCAATGGAAAATATTATCATTTTCTATTCCTATGAAAAGCTGTAGAAAATTTCAAAAGAACAGTGTATGAATCAATGTATATATACCAGAATACTCACCTTCTTGAAGCTTGCTACCTAAAAAAATGCCCCCAGACAGTAGAGATATATTAGTAACAAAATAATGGTATTTCCATTTACACAAATAGGTGGACTGCATAATCAATTTTTGTTTACGTAGGTGCAATGGAGTGATTACAACATACTCATGTTTCTAAAATAGTTATGAAATAGTCAGTTTGTATAAAATATTCATATTTCTAAAGAATGATAAAAACATATTAAATATCAAGTATGAATGTGAAGAGAACATATTCACAACCTCTTTCATTGCAAGCCAGTAACCAACCATGTCAAGTTGATCAGATGGTCCAACAACCTTTACCAATTTTGCACCCATTTGTTTCTTTTTCAACAAACAGAAGAGCATCCATGTTGGCAGTAGATTAATGATTGCAAAAATAAATATTCTTATCTGTAAACAGAAAACAAAATAAATAAATAAATAAATAAAAATAAAATAAAATAAAATAAACTCTTATGTGGTCAATTGAAGATGTTCACATACCTTATCCATAAATTATCAAATAAAAGTAACAATTCAAATAATGAATATACAAAAATTGAAAACCAATTGGTAATTTTAACGAAAAATATTACCAGCCAACAATGAATGAGTGACCAGATAAACAGTCAGCAAACCATGAAGAAAACTAAATAAAATAAAAATTAAAAAAAGGAAAATCACTACAATCATGAAACAACACAACCGGGTATTGTTAGTTTCAAACTTATATAAATGAAATTAAAACCTCTGTGACTGAGATGGGTTCTTTGCTTCAATAAGAGCAATCTCCGTAAATTGGTACTATACAATTCCAAAATCAAAAAAGGAAGAAATTAGGGCTCATATAATGAAACACAAAAAATTAAACATCCTACCATCTTCGTCACGTATGCCTGTCGGCCTCAGCACCTCCGTTGCAGTGGAACAAATGCAAACATCACTGACTTTCCTTGTGGATTGTCAATCTACAAATCATCAAATAAAAAAAACATAAAACAGGAAGTCAGATTTAACAATGAAAATTTAACAATCATCACAAACTTTAGCAATATAATTTTGGTGCATTCATCACAATATAGCTTAAAGCTGAAAGGTCTCTGGTGGCTTATTATTCTATTGCATTTCGAGGGTATTTTAGACATTTCACCAACAATCAACAAATCTTGGTGCAATTTTCTTCCATCAGGCCAAAGTTCCTCTAAAAAACAGGTGCTGAAAAACCAATAAAGCTTGTGATTCCTCGATAAAGTCCTGACAAACCTGAAAAAAAGATTTAAATTAGTTATAATGTAATTTCTTCAATAAGAACAGAGCATCAAAGCTGGCATCACCTCTCATATATAATTTTGCCATTTCAGGGACCATAGGTCGGACTTTCTTGAGCAGCACCATATCTGCAGCTTTAGTTAGTATTAATCTAAGTTAGCTATGTATATGATGTTGTATATGTACACTAAAAAATTGAATATTAAAACAATGTACCCTTAAAAAGTAGTCATGAATATTAAACAAATTTTGGGGTCCAGGCCCTAGTTCAAAAATAACTAAGCCTTTTCTAAATTACCTGACTTTTTGATTCTTAACTCATACTCCACAAAAGGCCATGGTCTTTTCACTTATGTTATAAACACATTTTAATCATTTTCAAAATTTACAAATAATCAATGAGTAAATTAAACTTTTAAATTCTAATTTTCGACCTTTATAGTTTACTTTACCAGCATTAGAAGAACTGATTCTTGAAAACATATAAGAAGGTAGTCCACATTTACACATATTGTAAGATGATGTATTGAAATTCCCATTATTTACATATGATCTTTTTGCAACCCCGGTTGATATTTTCTCTCCGTGATGTAGAAAAGCAGATCGAATTGGCCCAAAAGATTTAACAAAAGATCTCCTCATCTTCATTCCAGTACTTTGATGTTGATTTAAAAAGCTGTAAACTTCAGGGGAAGGTCTCAAGAATCCTGAACAACATCTGGTTCTCAGAACAATTGGTAACAAAAGTACAAAGATAATTAGGAATAAGGAATATATTCGATGACAAAACATTTGATATGTAACTACTAACTTGTTGACTTAAATTGAAAGCTTTTCATGTATTAAATAAGAGAAAAATTGTACAGTTCAAATTCAAATTTTCCATATTTCATATGCTTGAACTAAGGAATTTCAGTTTAGGGTATGATAATGATTTTCTGAGATTTAATTTGACTCATTTTATGAACCTTCCATCTTAATCCAACTCTAATACCTTAACCTTAGTCCATCACCCTTAGAAGAACATCAATTTGAAACAATAATCAAGTAAGAAAACCATTGCAATCACATAAATCACTGTACACTGCGTGACGAATGAACCAATCACCTTGACAGACGTCTCAGTTCTCATAATCCTCTTCCAGCAAATGTTTCCTTTTCCATCGTCTCTTATGTGTTTCCTGTCTTTAGGCCGAAAATCAACGAAATCAGAAAACGAAAAAGAGGATACTGCAATCATAAACCGTAAATCAACATGTGAACATTTTCAGAATTAATATGTGAAAAAATAGATAGAAGAACTAAAAGATCAAATGGATTTTCACTAATTTGTTTACCCATCATCTTCACCGCCACCCAGTACCACCCCTAACCGTCGATATCAACCACATGTCACCACCTCCATAAATCTTCAACATTCACCCTGTTCACGCACACAAAGACCAAGAAACCCCACCACCATAGCCAATACCCTCAAAGCAGAAGAAAACATTACCTTCAACTCGTTCTAAATCAACGACAAAGAAGGAACATTTGCAAAGAAAATCATAAAAGAAGAGATTAAATTGAAGAACGGTAATCTTCATTGGTGGTCAATTTTAACTTTCAATGAATCATATACTCATTACCTGGAAAAGAAACGATCCATCCATTATTATTGTACCAGAAGGTGTTGTCGTGCTAATCAAATGGATTTGAAGCATCATAAGGAGAAATTGATTTATGGAAATCGACGTTTTGTTCCATGGTAGTGGGTTGAGGCGGATGAAAATGGAGAATAAGAACCGAACATGGGGAGATTAACAATGGAGAACCAGGGGGAGATGATGAAGAAAGAGACGTCTATGATTTGGAGAAAAGGAAGATGATAGAAGGATCGGGAAGTAATACCCTAACCACAGTGGTCACCCGAGGAACAGTACCCTGGTCAGGTACTGTCCAGGGGGAGAAAACGATAATATATATATATTAATAATAATATAAAAGAAGTGACACACAAAGCAATATAGAGAGACCGGAAATGTAATTCAAGGGACGAAACATGGACAAAAGGGACGACGTTTACTGTTCTTTTTCTTCACAACTTTAATATATATATAATAATATATAATATATAATTAACTGTAAAAAGATATTTATGTGTGTGTTTCTGTTAGTAAATATTTTGAATTTGAAATCCTTGTGTAAATAAATATTAAAAAATGGGGCCATTTATAGGGACCAGTTATATAAATTCATTTTCGGGAGTAAATAAATTAATATTTCCTTGATATTTTTTTGGTTTTATTATATAACGATGTAAATGGTCCTTGTATGAAAGTGAAATTACATAAATTGTGGTTGTTTTTAAAAATGGCAAATAAAGTTATATGATCAACTATAACTGGGCAATAATTACAATAGCTTTTTAACAATATTAAATATGAAATTTCACTTAAATTATAATGGTTTATTAGGTATATAAGTGAAAGTACATTGCTATTAGTCGGTAAAAAACCCAAAATACGAGTTTCATAATGTATTCATTGCATTATAAATAAACATGTTCGAGTTATAAGTAAACTTTCTCTTATTTTTGTTTGTTTTTTAATGATAATATTTTTTGTTTGTGCCCTCTATGTCAATTTTTTCTTTAAAAAAATGATCATCATAGAACCTGCAAAAATATGATCTTTAAGAGAATAACATAATATTAGTTAAAAATACAGATGTCATTTATGTAAGGGTATAATTACTTAATTAATCAAGTATACCATTTATGTATCGTACTCTAATAAGGTATCTGATGAATTAGAAGAAAATCATCAGCAATGAAGGAGTATTTATCAAATCGAAAATCGATTGGACGAAAGGATGGCAAGAATGCTAGATGGCGTGATATTGTATGAGTGTTTTCTTCCATATTCATTACAATTTCTTAATAGACAAAATAATCATACCTGGGAGAAATGGTCTGGTACAATTGGGAAGAATAAATCTTGCACGGTGGCTCGCATAGTCGGTCGTGATTTTTGTGTTACGTGGGAGAAATTGTCCGGTACGATTAAAGTGACGAACTCTGACTAATCTCCGATGAACAACAGGAAAAAAATTAGGTTTCGTTTTTTTTGGAGAAGATCAAAATAGCGTATTGTGGAATACTTTCCACATGTATAATTTCAGTATATATGCTTTGATTAAGGTTGATTTTTGAATCGCTGAATTATCTCCCGTATTTTTTAAAAATTTTGATTCTCGCTTTTATAATTTTAGGTTAATTTCCTTAATGGGTTACAATTCACATTGAATATTAATTATTTTGTATATATTGTGATGTTGTTCTCTAATTAGATGAAGATATGAAATGAGATTTGACTCTAATTTTTGTTTTTCAACATCAGTACATTGATCTCCTATGTATTAGGCAGATAAACTTTTTGGTTTAGGTATTTTCTCCATTAATAGTTGGTGAAGCCACTAAAAATAACATTAAGAAGACTTTATGTTTGGACGATATAAAGAAATTAAGTTGATTTACATCATTTGTGTGTATGATTGACTATTCGTCAAAATACTCATGTGCATTATGTGAGGTAGAAATATTGGTGATTCAAATGATATGTTCAAGAAGATTCAACTAATACCTAAGAACCCCGATAGTGTGTTTTATATGAGATTAGATTATTTTCATATTATGGCATCATCTATAGTTAAACATTATAATTTTTATAATTTTAGTTGGATTGAAAAATATAACCGTTAAAGCTTGAAAGTAAAATAGAAAAAACTCACAATTACTGTTTATGAATTCTAGTTTTTCTTTTTTTTGGTGATACGTATGAATTGATTCTAAAGTAAAAACATACTTATTAATCGCATTTGCATTGTATAAGGTGTTGATGTTAATATTGAATTTTTTTGCAGAAATGACATATGAGGCATAAGATTTGATGCAGATGATTAGGAAAAATTGAAGGGTTGCAAAAAGGTAAAAAAAATGCACTTTTATTAATGATTAATGGTTGCATGTTAATCATAAGTATCGTTGTGTTAGTAAGTTACAAAAAATGGAACGTTGGTATTTTTTTGAATTGTAACAAAAGTTATAAATGAAATAAATAGAAAAATCACATAGGGGATTTAGATATTAAAAAATTGCATTTTTTGATAAGAACCATGATTAAATGATAAATTAAAGTTAAGTTAAACTAGGGAAGAGTCTCGCGTTGCGGGATTGGTTACGAAAAACACCCAGAGAAACATACGGATAAAATCAGTAGATTCAGATCCCAAATAGTGACAATTCCTGATAGATGGTTTACAAAGGTTGCAAATTGTATAACTACTCCAAGAATGTTAATCTGCTGCATATTTAAAAATTCCATGTGCATCTGTTACAAGATCATCCCCCTTAAAAACACATCAGCTGATGCACCCTACATATTTTGCAAACAAAGATCAAGAAACTAAAAAATATCAATGTTTAAGTACATAAAAATGTATTGTAATCGTATATCTAACTATTACAACATTAAATTAATCAGTAGGCATAATGTAACAATATAAAAGAAAGAATGTATAAAAAATAAAAGGAAAAAAAACACCTTCCAATTTTTCCAGTAATACGCCCATGAGACTTTGTGGACAGTGGCGAATCTAGAACCAAAAACCATGTGGTTCCTTATGTAAATAAAACAAAAAAAAATATGAAAGTGTAAAAATACTAGCAGTGACGGGTCGGGTTGTATGACTAAAATATTTAAACATCAGTTCAATCTTCGTATACTTTTGTTGTTGTTTACTATCTTCTTTCTTTTTATAAAACTTATGTAAAGACATTCTTGTATCTCGATACTGAAATTGAATTATAAAAATTGAATGTTATAAAAGTATCAAAATATACAATAACAACAAAACAATGATAATTAAACAATGTTCTTATATCAAATAGACAATAACAACAAAACAACTATATAAATTCTGAAATTGAGTAGATATTAATCAATAAATCAAACGTTAACAAATTACATATAACAATGTTAATAAGAATTTTGAATCAGTGAATGTGATTAATAACAATAAGTCAAGTTACAAACCTCAAATTCTCAAAATTGTAACAATAGTCAAGTTACAAACCTCAAATTAATAACAATAATCAGTGACAGTGAATGAAATCTAGTGATCAATAGACAATAAGTCAAGTTAATGAAACATTGAAACTGATAATCATACAACCTGGTGCTACAAAGGGGTTTGAACAACAAGAATTCGAAAATTGTAACAAACTTACAAACCTCAAATTCTCAAAATTGTAATCTGATCAAGATTCAAGAGACAGGGCCACAGGGTAATGAAGGGCTGAAGGCGGACGACTGGAGTGTTGTCAGTGGGCGGTGGGCGGCGGCCTGGCCGGACCGCCGGACGGTGATCGGAGCAGGAACAATCGGCGATCACTGATGATGATTGTTCGATTCGATTGATGCAATGCGTCCTGCCCCTGCGAGAAGCCGAGAACGACTGAACAATGTTGTATGCGACGTTCCTTTTTTCCTTTTTTTTTTTTTAAATTCATTGGATTATTGAATATTTAGATTGGGCTGTTAAATATATAAGATTTGGGTTTTACTTGTTTACAGTTCACGTAACTTGTTTTCCTCAAATTAGGTATGTCTTATTCTCAAAATAAGGTGGTTCTTTATATATATATATATATATATATATATATATATATATATATATATATATATATATATATATATATATATAGATCCGGTAAGAAAAAAATTTTGGTAGGAAGGTAAGAAGTTTTTTTTCTACATATTTTTTTAACGAACAAAATAAATGAATAACTAGATGATTCATTTGTAAGATGATTCACAAGAAAAATTCCCAAAAAACATCTTTATGATTTATTTTTAAGTAAATTAAGAAAAAAATTCACTTTTATGACAATTTTAGTGAATAACAACAAAATCATTGTATAAATGAATCATCGAGATGTTTTTTTGAGAATTTTTTCTTGTGAATCATCTTACAAATGAATCATCTAATGATTCATTTTGTTTGTTCGCGAAAAAAATATGTAGAAAAAAAACTTATTACCTTCCAACTAAAAATTTCCTTTTTATTTGATTTTGACTCTCTCTCTCTCTCTCTCTCTCTCTCTATATATATATATATATATATATATATATATATATATATATATATATATATGGTAATTAAAAAAAAAAATAGGTCCTAGGACCTACCTAGAGTCTTGCTACCTACGCCCCTGTTTGTGGAGAATCTACGGGTGTATCGAGCAACTGCATCAATTACACTTGTTCCAATTTATAAAATTTAAGACATTAAATAAATATAAATCTTTCATAATTATTAAGAATTGTGAAAAGTGAAAAGTAGCATATACTATTGTTTGTTTTATACGTCTATTTAATCAATGATCTTTCTTCAATCAATTTTTAGCATAAACCTTACAAACATTCATGCTTTAAAAGATTCTCTCCCTTTTTTCTTTAATTCATGTCTCTAGATATCAAATTTAACATATGATTTCAAATAATGAATACAAAACTAATTTTTTAAACAAAAAATTACCCTAATCTCTCCTGCTGCAGCCATTTTTTGGTCTTTCTTTCTCCATCCAACAGCAACTGAAGAGTCTGAGCCTAAACTTAGCTCTATCTGGAAGATACTCCAAAAATAAAAATATAACAAAAAAATAATGATTATTTTTTAAATAAAAAAAAGAGCTTCTTATTCTTTATTTCTTACACTTGCGTTTGATGTTGTGGAGAGTTGACGATTCCAAGAATTTGAAAGATTTATTGAACCATCTCTTAATGACATGGCAAGCCCCATTGTTGCAGTGGCATGACGTGACATCTGTTTGAATCAAGAAATAGCAACCTACTTTTATTTATTTGTTTATTTTAAATTAAAAATTAAAAATTAAAAACAACATCCTTGTAACGTCCATAAATTTTACGCCAAATTCAAACTTTTTCAACCATAAATAAAAGTCAAAATAGTATTGTTTACAAAATGTTTTCAAATCAATATCCATAAGAGTGTCCCAAAATCATATCATAAGGATGAGGAGCAGTACGGTCACGCCTTCGCCTTGCCACGATCTCCTGAAGTACCTGAAACAATAAACTGAAACTGTAAGTCCGAGGGCTTAGTGAGCTACCCCCAAAATACCAATATCACACTGACAATACCATATCAGTAACAACCAATCAATCAATCATGCATACTGGGCCATCGGCCTGACTGGTCCGCCCTACCGGGCCTACAGTCTAACTGAATCTATTCATGCATACTGGGCCATCGGCCTAACTGGACCGCCTTACTGGGCCTACAGTCTATCTGAATCTATCCCGAGCCTTCGACATGACTGGTCCGCCTCGTGGCCTGCAGTCTCCCCGGACCGCTCATAGGGTATGTTGGCCTTCAGCACAAAGCAGGACCGCCTCAACCCAAACAATAAGCAAATAACCAAGTTCACATAACTATCATATACTGGCATATACAACATCAAACATATCTATCATACTGATCATCAACCATAGAATCCTCTCGTAACGAGAGTACCGACCTAGCAGGTCACTAACATACCAATCCTTACGGATCATAAAGCATAACATATTGTCTACCCTGATTCCGATCTAGCAGACCAAACCATATGTAGCATACCATAACAATAACAACAAAAGGGCCGGCCTTGGTGCCGTAGACCCTATCGATATAGTGAGGATGACTCACCTCGCAGATGCCAACTCAAAAGGTAAACTCCAATTCTCGGATCACTTGACACAGGCTCCACCACCTATGACCATAGTACAAAATACTCATAAGTCCTTAAATCTATAAGGTACTCCAATTCTCGAGTTCCCTCCTTGCCACTCGACGGGCACACACGCATACATATCCTAGGGAAAACTCATCCGACTCGCCGAGTTGTTCTTCAACTCGTCGAGTCTTATGGTGATCTTCATCGGACTCGCCGAGTTGTTCGTCCAACTCGTCGAGTTCACGACTATCTTCATGTGACTCGCCGAGTCAACCTTGCGACTCGCCGAGTCCATTCAGTCCTCTTTCCATACAGACTTGTTTTGAGCCATGCAGTGGTTCCAAATCACAGATCCAAGCTTCTAGGGCATACTTATCACGTAAAGTTGCAAACTTTACGTGCATGCATGGCTATAAAGGCTCTAAATGTCCATTTTAAGTTCTTAATGGAGCTTCAAGTCCAAGAGGGACCTCAATCACAACCAATACAGCAACTTTATGATTCTAAAACCCAAGGAGGGTCCAGATATGAGGTTACAACTTCAGATCTAGACCATAGCTCATCTTTCCAACTTAACATCCCACCAAAAACCCTAGAACTCAACCAATAGAAGAGATTTACAAGGAAAAGGCGATTTGGTTACCTCCAGAAGATGATAACTGAGATAAGAGCTGATTCCCACACTCCACTTGCTCCAATCTCCTTCTCCTCCAAGCCTTCTTCCTCCAAAGATCCTCTTTTTAAGCTTCAATCACACAAAGGGCACACACACACACGTACTAGGGTTTTAAGAGCTCTCAAGGACTGCAAAGAGGCCAAAGGAGGCTGAGGCTCCTTTAAATAGGGGTGCAAACCCCGAGATTTAGGGTTTCATCTGCCAGCTCCTACTCGCCGAGTCCCAAAGTGGACTCGTCGAGTAGGCCACTTAACACGCGATCCCACCCCGCTGCTACTCGACGAGTAGGTCGACCGACTCGTCGAGTAGAGCTTCATCCAATAATTCTTATTTAAATAATACCTGAGAATCGGGGCGTTACAACTCTCCCCCACTTGAACTAGACTTCGTCCTCGAAGTCCGTTGGAATAAATAATGTCGGGTAATGCTCGCGCATCTCCGCTTCCGGCTCCCATGTCCACTCGGATCCCCTCCGATGTTCCCACTGTACCTTTACTAAAGGTATTTCCTTGTTCCGCAGAATCTTCTTCTTCCTTTCCAAGATAGTCACATGCTTCTCCACATAGTTCAAACGCTCATCGACCTGAATGTCATCCAACGATACCACTGCCTCCTGGTCCATAACGCATTTTCGCAATTGCGAAACATGAAATGTGCTGTGAATCCGGCTAAGCTCCTCAGGAAGCTCTAGCCTATAAGCCACCTTGCCAACCCTGGAAACAATCCTGAACGGCCCGATGTAGCGGGGACCCAATGTTCCCCTCTGCCTGAAGCGGATCACTCCCTTCCAGGGTGAAACCTTCAGGAGAACCATGTCACCCACCTGAAACTCCAGCTCAGATCGGCGTCGGTCGGCATAACTTTTCTGCCGACTCTGAGCGGTATGCAGTCGCTGTCTAATCTGCTGTATCATCTCGGTAGTTTGCAGAACTACCTCTGTTCGACCCATCACTCTGTGCCCAACCTCGCCCCAGCAGACTGGGGTCCTACACTTCCGCCCATACAACAGCTCGAAAGGTGGGGCGCCAATACTGGAATGATAGCTGTTGTTGTAGGCGAACTCTACAAGCGGTAGGTGGGAATCCCAACTCCCACCGAAATCAATGACGCATGCCCTCAACATATCCTCGAGGGTCTGTATGGTCCGCTCACTCTGCCCATCAGTCTGCGGATGGAACGTTGTACTAAAATGCAACCTCGTACCTAGTTCCTCGTGGAGCTTCTGCCAAAAACGGGAAGTAAATCGGACATCCCGGTCGGAAACTATGGAAACTGGAACCCCATGGCGAGAGACAATCTCGCGGACGTACAGGTCGGCCAACTTCTCCGCCGACGAACTCTCCCGCATAGCTAGGAAATGGGCACTCTTGGTCAATCGATCCGCGATGACCCATATAGCATCGAAACCCTTTGCCATCTTTGGCAATTTCGTGATGAAATCCATCGTGATCTGTTCCCATTTCCACATGGGAATCTCCAGGGGCTGCAGCTTACCATGCGGCCTCTGGTGCTCGGCCTTGACCATCCTACAGGTCAAGCACCTCTCAACAAACCAAGCGATATCTCGCTTCATGCCCGACCACCAATAACTCGAACTCAGATCACGGTACATCTTGGTGGCTCCCGGATGAATAGAGAAATGAGACTTATGAGCCTCCTCCATCACTGTCTGCCGGACCCCTCCGGACATCGGAACCCAAACCCGACCGTAACGGGTCAACAATCCCCGGCTATCCTGAACAAAACGGGCGCTTTCGCCCTTAATCTTCTCCAACTTCCAGTTTTCCGGTCTCATACCCTCAATCTGAGCATCCCTGACCAAACCCACCAGCGGGGAATCCACCGCTATCCTCATACATCTGGCTGGGGTCGAGGACCCAGCTGACTTGCAGCTCAGAGCATCCGCAACCACGTTCGCTTTACCAGGATGGTAAAGGATCTCACAATCATAGTCCTTGACTACATCCAGCCACCTGCGCTGCCTCATGTTCAGGTTTGGCTGATCCATGATGTGCCTCAAACTCTTGTGATCCGTGTATATAGTACAACGGACCCCGTACAGATAGTGCCTCCAAATCTTGAGAGCGAAGACCACCGTTCCCAACTCAAGATCGTGCGTGGGGTATCTCGTCTCATGCGGCTTTAACTGCCGCGATGCATAAGCTATCACTCTTCCCCTCTGCATGAGGACTGCCCCTAAGCCTGTGATGGACGCATCACAAAATACCATGAAATCCTCCACTCCCTCGTGGAGTGTCAACACTGGCGCCTCGCATAATCACTGCCGGAGGGTCTCGAACGCCCTCTGCTGCTCAGGGCCCCACCGGAAATCCACTCCCTTCCTCGTTAGACGAGTGAGGGGTACGACAACCTTGGAGAAATCACGAATGAACCTCCGATAATACCCTGCTAAACCCAAGAAACTCCTGATGTCTGAGGGAGATCTCGGAGTCTCCCACTGCATAACCGCCTCCACCTTGGCCGGATCAACCAAAATCCCATCCTGGTTAACGAGATGTTCGAGGAACTGAACCTCTCGTAACCAAACGGAAACGCGGTTTAGTAAGCCCAAACGGAATCACCACGAACTCGTAATGACCATAACGAGTCTGAAACGCGGTTTTCTCCACGTCTTCCTCCCTCACCCTGACCTGGTGGTATCCTGATCTCAAATCAATCTTGGAAAACCAAGATGCACCCTGCAGCTGATCAAAAAGATCGTCTATCCTCGGAAGCGGATAACGGTTCTTCACCGTTAACTTGTTCAGCTCCCTATAGTCAATGCACATCCTGTGTGAATCGTCCTTCTTCCTGACGAAAAGGATTGGTGCTCCCCAGGGTGAACTACTCGGACGAATGAACTGGTTACCCAGCAGCTCCTGCAACTGAGACGACAACTCCTGCATCTCTGGCGGTGCCTGTCGGTACGGCGCCTTAGCGACAGGGGCCGCACCCGGCACTAGATCAATCCTAAACTCAACCTGCCTCTCCGGAGGCACTCCGGGTAACTCATCCGGAAACACATCAGCAAACTCCCTAACCACCGGAACCTCTGAAACTGAGAGTTGCTCCCTAACCTGCGTATCTACTACATACGCCAAATAACCGGCACACCCATGCTGTATATACTGTCGAGCCCTGGCTGCCGAACAAAACCCTGATCCCAACCTGGTGCCCTCGCCATATACTACCAGTTCTCCCCCACTTGGGGTTCGAACCACCACCCGCTGCCTCTCACAGTCGATCATGGCACCGAAACGGCTAAGCCAATCCATCTCTACAATCACGCATACATCCCCCATGGGGATAGGAATCAAATCTACCAGGAAGGACACCCGAAAATCTCCAACTCGCATCTTCGGTAGACCGAAGAAGCAGAAACCCCGTGTTCGTTGGCGATCGAAACTCACAACG